CAAGACAAAAATTGATTTTCCGAAGATCTTTTATTTTGTCAATTTGGTCCCTTTTCTCAGCACCTAGCCCATATAGTGTGGACTATAGTACCCCAGATACGATAAAATCTACAGCTAAAATCCAAGTTAGCAACTGGATATTTCACTCTATAAAGTATCAAAAAATTTTTATAGAGTATACTTTGATGTGGAGGGTCAATTGTCCGTGCTGTATAGTATATTAATTTATTACCTTCTTTATGAATATTCTTCAATTACCCCAGGTACTATAGATAGTATTAAATAGTAAACTATATTTATATAACTTAGATAATTTAATCATATCCAAGTAAAAAAAATTTTTTAATAGGCACAATTAGGCTATACAAAATTATATTCTTGGTTTTCATATCATGAAACTTAATTAGTGATGCAAGCGCATAGCTTTTTTTTTTTTTTAGTAAAAAAATTTTTTTTAATTAAATAAAGCCAAAAAAAAACATTTATTAAAGCTTATTTTCCTATACTCCAAATACCTGATATAAATAGATTTGGTAGATTTCCCTAACAGCCACTTTTCTAACATCTATTTCACTGACAGCTATTTTACCACAGCCCAGTTCCCTCACAATATATTTCTCTAACAGCCTGTTTCTCCAACAGCTCACTTCTCTAACTTTACTTCTCCGACAGCCCATTTCCCCGACTTCACTTCTCCATTAGCCTATAACTTCTCTGACAGCCCATTTCCCTGACTTCACTTCTCCATTAGCCCATTTCCCGACTTCACTTCTCCGATAGTCTATTCAATCTATTTTGCTGACAGAAAAAAGCCTGTCAACGAAGTGACAGGGCAATCATTATTGCGAGATCAGATGGCTTTATGGGATCATATGTCCACGTTGTCTTTTATCGAATTTGTTAAGATACAGATATTTTCTAATTAATATGATGATTGCATATGATTGTTGTAATGTGAATTACTAAGAATAGGGGTAATTATATGGTTCTGAGTATGTAATTAGTAATATATTTAAGAGCTTTTAGTTAGTAGAGTAGGTTATCTTTCTTTTTGCTATCATTCACCTTGTAGTGAAGACTGGCTTTATCGTTATCACAGCATCCTATTAGTAGAGACTTTTTTCTTGAGTCACATGATACCAGTTGTTAGCTAGATGAAGCCAATCTTGAA